TTTATATGGTTGACTCCACTTCTTCTAAAATAAGCAACTCTCTAATAGACAATACCTGAGAGGAAGATATTGGCTGGCATTTCATTAGCAATAGAGATTTCATAAAAACGTGGAGAACAACAAAGTCTTTTTATTTCACCATGAAGGATTTCATACATTTGGTTGCAGCAATGAATGATAGGTTGACAAAGCTGCCATAAACCTGTCAGTTAATTCAAAAATCCTGTGAGAGTATTTTTGTTCTCATGCAGCAGAACATTCTCCCTTCTTCGGCCCTGTATACCAGCTTTTTAAGCAATATGATATGAACTCATTTCTTAAAATTTATACGATGTCACCGAATTTCTCAAAGAATTCCAGAATGGTTTGAAAAAGCCTTAGCTGAAGAAATAATTTTAAAGGAAATAATTCTCTCTTAAGATTTGGCATTCTACTTCAGAAGTTCCTCCCCTGGTTTAGCTGATAGGCAGCCATATATTACACCCCCGCCCACTCCTTCATATTTTTTCATCTCTGGCCCCTCTGCACCAAATTCATCTCTCCATGATGGTACACAGCATTTAAAGAGCATCTACTGGATGTGAGGTCTTCACTGTAGAAACATCACATTTTATCTTCAGAATCATGGTATCAGCTAAAGTATTATTTATTGGTCCCACATCACAGATGAGGAAACCATGACTTAGAGGAGTGAATCCACTTGGCCAAGGTTGTGGATCTCGTAGATTATGGAGGTTTGTTATCCTCTATGTTTGCGACATGTGTAAGAGACAATGCTATAATTACACACTGAAGTGCATAGAAGACAAAAACATAACTGGGAGCAGTAAAAATTATAGCCAGATTATAGTAAACCAAGGCTACTCCTAATATTATCAGTTCTCAAATACTCTATTTATTTTTTAACTAACGCTTTTCATTTGATATTCCTTGGGCCTTAGAATCATATAAACTTAAGTTTAAATCCGACTACATCTTACAGTTGACATCTTACTACAACTGTAGGCACATTACTTAAACTCTCTGGACTTCAGTTTTCCAATCCCTAAAATGAGAATAATAACATCTACCCTCCTGAGGTCATAGTAAATATTGAAAATAAAATAACTTACATGAATTGCCTTGCTTTTGATAGCATCACTCATGTATTTGTTTAATTCTATTTATCTATCTTATTCCATGTTTTGCAAAGCAAGCTTCTCCTTGTATTTATTTATTTTTTTAACTTCTCTCTCTCTTTTCTGCTTTGTGGTCCTTCCCAGGCAGCTACCAAAGACCTTATTAAATGATTTCCCATGAAGCATTCAAACAACCAAATTAGATTATAATTAAAATAACAAGAGCTAACATTTATTGAGCTCTTACTGTGGCTTGGATCTAAGTGCTCCTCATGTATTAGCTCATCTAATTATTCGCCCAACCTCGAGGTAGATAAAAGTAATCTTATTTTGTAGAGGAGGTGACGGAGATCAGATAGTTTACTGAGATTATTTGTTTGCTCAAGGTCACAAAGCTACTGAGGCAAGACCAGCCCAGGCAGCTTGCCCTCAAAGCCTCTATGTGCTGTTGTTATAGATCTGTAAAATGGTAACAATGAGGGTTATGGTGGGAGAAGCTACAGAAGCAAGATTCTAAAATACAAATGTCAGATGAGCCATGTTCACCAATATTATTTGTAGAATAAACAGAGCAGTGTGAGAGAGGAATTCTTTCTTTCTGTACCTTCCTCACTGCTGTGTGAAGTATTATGGTATTATGAACTGCAGTAGTAATGAGCATGAACAAGAGTTTTGCCTAATTCAGAAGCCCCCCAGGAAGCAGTTTTAGATCACTCCAATCTTAGCTGATTTGGGTCCCTGGACCCAGCCCTTTTGCAGGAGAAAATGACCAGGAATGGCTGACATATTCAACAACCAAAGAATTGAAGGAAAATGAGTAATCTGAACATCAGAAATAGCAATGAGAATTTCTTATTTGAATGCACTGAGAATGAAATTTTTTCTCTCACCTAGATTATTACAACATGATTTCCATCGATATAATCACCTGAAAACAACAGATACCATGGAAATCGTTTTATACAGTGAAACATGTTGGTATTTTGCAGACCCAATTACTTGAGATTTCAGTACGGATATTACTAGTAGCGAGGAATTGCTTCGTATTGGACTTTTCTCTTGATAGAATGCAATAAGTATATATAGATTTCCCCAACTGTTCAAAGTTATGAACTGGGATTTACCAAGGAAGGAAAAATGTTTCAATATAGCATTATACTCTTACTGAATATTTTTCTTTATTTAGCTGATTCCTTTTTAAGTATTTCTAGAAGTTTCAGGGCAATAAAAATGGAATACTGAAATCTTCAAATAAGAAAATACAATTTTATGAGCAAGTATTTTATTTCTGCTCTTTCCCTGAAAGCCAAATCTCTACTAAGGAAAATTCTATTTTGAACACAATTGGAACTTTATGACTATTGAATCTCCTTCCCATTTCATAGATTTCAAATGAAGAGATAAACTGTAGCCTAGCAAGGCTGCAAATGACATTTTTTAGATAAACATATCTTGTCAGCAGCATTAGAGGCTCCAGGCATATTTGGAATTAAGATTCTGGCTTAGGCTCTTAATAAGCAACATGACATGTCTCAACAGACACTTGGCTTTTAAGAAAATGTCCTTTTTGGACCACATGGATTGGAATCTTTCCACCATACAACAAATATTCATAAAGGTATTCATTCCTAAAAGACAAAGGTTTAGAAAAATAGAACTGTTCAAATTACTGGATATTAGCGGAGATAAAAACTTGCCCTCTGGTCACTCAATTTTAATCTACATCAGAAAAAAAAAAAGGTCAATACAGTATCAAAAAAAGATTGTAAGAGATAATGGAAAATGTTTAGACAATGTTGAATGGATAGTGTAAAATAAATCAGTGTTATTTTCCTCTTAGGGAAAAATATAGAAGTTAGTTTTCATTAGTAAAATGACAAATGACTTTATATATAGTATGTTCAGATTTGCATAAACATTTTTGCCAAATTTCCCTATTTCTCCGGCAAGAAACAGGTCACTTAACTGTGTAATGGGAATTCAGTCTCATACTGAGCAAATCACTCACTAAGATTCATTCTTTTGGACCAGTATGTTGCAACCTGATGGAGAAAGCCTCATGGTTCCAGTTTGAGGGAGGAACATTCTACTACATCAGTGGAAGAGCTATCTATATTGGTCATTACAAGGCAATTTTGTTCTTATCTTGCTGGTTATACAAATGGCATTCTATAACTTATACAGAACTCTAAAACTTAAGTGTATTCTTCCTGTGCAGATTAGCTATGGAAGAGAAAGATGAGGTTTCTTACCAACTAGTTTCTCTCCTTCCTGGGCTCAACACTGAACAATATTTTGTAGCTTTCCTTGCCAGTAGGTGTCGTCATGTGACAAGTTCCAGCCAATAGGCTCTGAGCATAATTCACACGTACCACTTCAGATCCTGCCTCATAATAAAGCTCAATGAACAATGCTTATTTCTCACCTGCCCATTAAACGCATTGGACTCTGATGTTCTGGACACAAAAGATGGAATGGGGTTTGGGTCTCTGGATGATGTCACAGAAAGCTGCTTATTTTGGACAGAAAAAAGTAAACTTCTGTGGTAAGCCACCAATATGTGGCATCTTTCCTATTATAGTGGCTAGTGCTACTCAACGAATATGTTAGCATATATCCAAATACATTGTTTGAGCAACAATGAATTACAATTTCAAAATCAAGAAAAATCTACTTCAGTTAACAATCATGACAAGTGTAAGAGGAAATGTCTTTAAGAAGTGAATTAAAACATATAATTGCAGACCAAAAATGTATTAAATCCTAGTCCTAGTGATTAAGGTCATTAACAAAAACAATTAAAACAGGATGGAAATGGTAAACATTCTAGAAGGAACATAGACTTTCAAGCCAGAAAGAAACATCTGCAAATTCCAAGCTCTGATCTTTGCTTGTTTTGTAAACTTGAGCAGTTTAATTAAACTTTCTCACAAATTGCTTCCTCATCTATAAAATGAGGGATTATGAAATTTAGCTGGCAAGATTTTATAAAGATTTTATACACACACACAAACACACACAATATAACACCTACCGTCTGATACCTAAGAGGAACTCAATAAATAGTAGCTATTACCACTAAGTATTTACCAATACATACAAATATGATCAATAATATTTTTCAAGTATTAACCTTTTATACTGGTGACTCTTTCCCCTCCCCCAAGATACTGGCAGCAAAGAATTCTGCTTCCACCTCCTTAGGAAAGTGTTAATGCAACAGAATGCAGATTATGAAGACATGGATTCTTGGTTTGAAGTTTCAAAAGCCTACGTCTGGTAAAAGACACAAGATTTGGAAGGAGAAAGAAAAGGTGATGAAATGAAGGATTTCCCTACTCCTACACTAGAAAAAAAATTCCTCTGGTTGTGGAAAGGGATGAGAGGATCATCACAGGGGAAATAAATAAAAGTCAGTATTGATGAGTGTCCCTGGAGGGGAGGTAGGGAGAGTTAAGGGAAGAAATCGAGGAGGATCCAAGAGAATCAGAGAGCAGAGGCGAACTGGGCCTTATTCCTGAGGAGAGCCTCTGAGGGAAACAGCAGAAGACTAGTTTCCCCTTCTGCTTCCTCTACTCTTCCTGACCCCATGCACAGGCACTCTGAATCCCTCTGTATAAAGACCAGTCCATGCAACATCTAGACCCATGGCCCTTAAACAGCTTCCCAAGGCTCCCACCCATGCCAGCACAGCAGGAGGAATGGTACAGTGATTTCTGCTGTTACCGAGTATCACCCATGAACTGAAAACTCTTGGCACAATAGTTACAATTGACAACTATTTGGCACAAATTTGATGAATGCAAGAGGCCAATCAACTTCCAAGTCATTACTGAGACTTTACATGTATCTTAAGTTTCCCACGCTTGTTAAAAGACTTACTTCGATCAGTAATGATGGTTCTAGCCTCTTGATTGCTGGTCTTGTTTTTCAAATTCTGGGCAGCAGTAATGAGTTCTTCCAACTGGGGGCGTCTCTGTTCCAAATCCTGCAGTGTTGCCTGAAGGAAAAAGTTTAACTTAATATTGAGGTTCACCAGCGCTGTGCATACCTTTTATGTAGTACAAAGTAAAGTGCAATTTTCAAGCCAACCAAAGCACTTCTGGAAACAAAAAAGATGTTACTGGATATAAATCCGTAATGCATAAGGCTTTACAGAGAACAATTTAACAGGAGATATGTTTCATTCTTAGATACCAAAAATATTTCAGATGAAAATCTTGATTATAGATTCGCTTCACTATTTAAGAGCTTAGATGGAGTCATTTCAGAGTTCCTGGGTTTACTTAAACTAGCTCATGAGTGCCACAACCAAGAAATGTAATTTTTTGGATTATGACAATATTTTTAAGAGAAAGACAGCTGTTTACACTTGTAATCTCATTTTGTGCAGTGTCAAAATTAGTGTGTATTTGAGAAACAGAAAAAGCACCGAAGTGACCTGAGAGATGCAACTGATTTAACTTTGTAGCTGAGCTTCCTCACCTATGAGAAGCTGATGCAGTGTGCTAAGTCAGTCCTTCCCCAAAGATGCCTTCAATGAGAATCACTTGACTCCTTTGTCTCACCACCCACCTTCTCCCCAACCATGAATAAATGAGTAGGGAGGAGGGCTTGGAAGATGTCTTTTTAACAAATTCTCTACTTAATTCTTATGATCAGGCAAGTTTGGAAAGCATCAGTCTAGAAGTTAATATTCATGTTCTGTATTACAAATTAATTTAAAACTGATTTAGATAAAAAATACCAATGGAAGAAAGCCAAGAAATACATATGTGCATATAGGGAGCTTTATCAATTACTAAGAAACTCCCCTGTCTGTCAAGTGTCCGTCTATAGTCTCTGTCACCTTACTCTCTCTACACTAAAGGTCCCATGTCCCAGTGATATTTACATAGAAGCTTGAGAAGCATAAGATTTCTCCCTTGTTCTCTTTCTAAAATGGAGTTCATTTTAATTTGGGAAAGCATAATGAATATTTATTAGTTTCTAACCCCTATATGACAGACGTTTTACACACATTCTCGTGTTCTTAGTCTCCTAATAACTGCTCTAGTAACTAAGCGAGGAATCTTTATGGTTTTAAACCTGATGCTGCTTCTCCTACCACAGGAGTCTGACTTCTGCTGATTTTCTAAGGATTTTTGGGCTCAGAAAGCTCGAGTTTTGATGATTTTTGCGGTGTTTCTTTTGTGAACAGGTAGGGACATAGGCCTTGTGATTTCAGCTCAATTGCTTTTGGTAGTATTAAAATAATGGCAAGAACTTATCCAAACATTACACATCTATTTTGAGCATTTTCCCCTCTCTGTATTGAAAATTGGAGGGGCTAACTTTTAACCAATTTTCCACATTTGTAAGCTGTGATTGCTCAGAAGAAAAATCCAATTTTCAGGTTTCTAACTTTTATGGTTTCTTTACACAAAAGGGTGTTTGAAATATGGAATAAATTGCCAAAGACAGCTATTGAAGTAAGTGGCGTAAGTCAGTTGGAGAGTACTGAACAAATTTTAAAGTAGGAACCAGATAGTAGTAGATAGATTTTATGAAATAAGATGGTTTCCAGGGTTAGAATGTTAAACTCTGGTCATCTGTGACACAGCCAGCTTAAAAGGCACTTTGGAATTCCTGGCTCTTAAATATTTAACACACGTTCAAACAAGTGTTTTAAAAACAGAATTATCCAGAAACCTCAGATAAAGTCAAATGTTTCCCTCAAATTTAACCAAGAACTCTATATAATACAAGTAGCAAAGCACACAAATTCATTCATTCACACACTCATTCTTTCACTTTGTAAATATCAAGTACTGCACACTGTTCTAGGCACTATGGAGATAAAACAGTGGACAAAGGGATTAGGTATGCTTTGTGTAATTTAAATTCAAGTTTGTGTTTTTTGATACTTGGACATTTTTATATAACAAAGATTATCTTTACCATTATTTTCCTTTGATTTAATATGAATTCACCCTCAAACAGCCAAGCTATTCTTTGCTTCTCTCTTTTGGATATATTTCTCCAGGCTGGCTCTACTTTTCTCCTTCTTTTAGGATCACAAAGTTCGTTTATGAAGTATGTTGTAGAAGTAACCTGATCAACTTTAATCTAAATTAAACCTGACCACAATGAGCAGCTTTTACTGCTGAAATTAGCAAGCATGTCAATTTAGACTTAACACAAGCCATTTTCCTCTCTAATGAACAAAATAGGTCTCAGGGTATTGTGAAACCTGTTCTCTAGTTGGGTGATTCTCTAATTCTGCTGACAGACACATGCTTTGTAAGCACCTGAGAAGATTATTAATGACATCCTTTGAAGCAGCCTCCTTAGAAACCTACAGAGATTCACAGCTGTAATAAAACTATTCATTTCTAAAGAATTTCAAAACAAAATCGTAACTCTTTATCCTACTCTTTGGTCAACACATACAAAGGTTCATTTATAAAAAGAAACTGCACAATAATAATATATATTGCTATGGGATTTATCAGACACTAATATACTCATTAAATAGAGGTTTCTCAGTACAGCACAATGGGAATTTTCTCCTTTGATTCTCTTTCCAGAAATAAAGGAAAGGATTTGAATATGGCATTTTTAAATATTTTTTCCATTAAGATGTTATAAAAAAACAGTGACTGAAAGACTTTCTTGCTAATGAACAGAACACACACACTCAGTGAAAAGAATAATTATTTTTTTCTTTTCACTTGGTTTTCTTCTGAGTGTATACTATTTGCTATTATAATTTCTCTTACCTGACAACTTGGTTTTAAAAGCTCCTAACTTTTCAAATAGAATGACCTTCATCTCTATTTCACTGAGCCACCCACAGATGGGAGAACACCTTAGATCTAATCATTACTCAAACTACGCACCTCCAAAATACCCATCTATGAAATTCTGTTCTTTGCCTCCCCATCTGGTGCTCTCACCAGATGCTTCTCTCTCAAAAACACTCTTTCTACCCTAATCCTCATCCTCAATGACCTCTAGTCCTCTTCTATTTTTTGTTCAGTTTCCTCATTCTTGCTGTAGTGGTCCATATTCGTCATGCGAAACAAGTAGAACGCTATCTATGCTTATTTTTCTGATAGGAGCCCGGATATTCATTACACATATAACTTTAGTGAACAAGACTAAAAGCATTACATGCTTAACAGTATCTAAGCATGGTAATCGAGCATGTCTACACAGATTCTATCATTCTGGAAAAAACAAACACAAGAGAAGGAAGGAATCAATGCTATTTCTAAGGAGTCATAAGCCAGCTACAGGGCTTTACTAAAAACAGCTTACCCCTTGGAGATGAGAATTCATCATGGACTCTACTAGCTGAGCAAAGAAGGAAGGAAAAAAAAAATCTTCAAATACAAAGTGAATCAGAAGTCGTTAATCCTACTAAGTCCCCCCAGGGTTGAAGGAAGTGGTTATAAATAGCAATCCTATGCAAAAGGGAGTTAAACAATGAAACTATACATACTCTAAGTAGGTCATTCTGAGCGCTTAGAAAGAATTACACTTTGTTATTGTACTTGGTAAAATAGAATTCTACCTAATACTCAAACAGAAAACTCTACGGTTTAGTTCAATGGTTAACATTTACATGTTTAAGAAAAGACCTGAAGAATAAATTCTTTATATTTTTAATATTTTCTACAAAAATCAACAGTCTTTACATATTTATATTTAGAACAAAGGCCCATGCTGATTTTCAGTTCTTGCCATTTTCAGAAAATAAATATTACTTACACGTGAGGTAAAATTGTAGACCACATATTCTTTCATTTACAATAAAAAAAAATAACATCCAAGATGGACAAGGTGAAATAGTTTATTGAACTGCTCTGTGTATGGAAAAAAATAAGCATTTAAGGTAGGTAGGGCCTAAACTGTAACCTTTCTTGTAACCCAAAGAGTTTTACCTGTGAGGATGCTAATCCTATGTCTAGCTTTCAACTGCCTCATTGAGCACCTTAATTCTGGCTTCTTTTCTGGCATGTATTGCCTCTCCAAACAGGCTGGCCGAATCCAAAGCCGTCTTCTTTAGTAAGCCTCACGCCCAGGGCAAGTCCCAACACAGGGCTTGAACTCACGACCCTAACATCAAGACCTGAGTTGAGATGGAGTCGGACACTTAACCGAATGAGCCACCCGGGCGCCCACAAAGCTGTCTTTATTGTCCTCCACCCCCTCACTTCTCCTCTACATTTTAAACTAGTCTGGATATTTTCCTACTTTGTATAACTTCTTTATGCCTCTGAATGTTCTACCACCATCTCTGTCGGTGACTTCTTCATGAACACCTTCTATCTGTGGTTAGCCTTTTGTCCTCCATTCATTGAGGAAATATTTTTTTAAAGGTATTTTATTTTTATGTAATTTAAAACTTACAGAAAAACTCCAAGAATGGTCAAAGAACTCTCCAGTATCCTTCACCCAGACTCATCAATTGTTAACGTATGACCTCATTATATTTATAACTTATCGTTCTCTGTAGATATAATTATATGTGTATGTTTAATAGATACTCTTTTATGAACCTGCAGCTTAACCCTTTGTAATTTCAGTGTTCATTTCTTAAGAAATGGCATTCTCTTACATAACTTCAGCTCAATTTCGAAGTCAGGAAATGCACTACAATCTAATCCACATTCTTTATTCATATGGGGACAATTATCCCATTAATAGGGATATCCCATTTACTGGTCCAGACTCATGCATTGCATTTAGTTGTCATATCTTTATAGTCTCATTTAATCTGAAATAGTTGTTTGACTTTCTTTGAGCTTCATACCATTGACTGTTTCGAAGGCCAGGTACTTTGCAGAATGCCCCCGAGTATGGGTTTCAGCAAATAATTTTTTTTTAATATTTTTATTTATTCCTAGGAGAGAGAGAGAGAGCGTGAGCAGGGGAGGGTCAGAGAGAGAGGGAGACACAGACTCTGAAATAGGCTCCAGGCTCTGAGCTGGCAGTCAGCACAGAGCCCGACGC